GTTAACTTTTGCGGCCACTGGTTCGGCTGCTCGGTTAGTTCCAGTTGATGTGTCAGTTCCTGTAGAGATTTTGCTATCATCGGTAATTGTTGCTGACCGTTGACGAGTGTTACTTGTCCAATTGTTAGCAGAAAACCGGGATTGCTGTTCAACTAACAAGGCTCGCTGACGTGCTTCTGCAACTGAACTGGGATCAAATTGATGTAGCATTGTTTGGAGCTGAGGACGATAAAACGTGCTACTAATTGATCTTTAGAGTCGTGGATGTCTACTCGAGAGAGCATCTGGTAAAATTCGTTGGAATATTCTTCCACAGAGCTAGTGCCTTGACGAATATTGTGAAACTTTTGAAACAATAATCGTTCAAAGTTATACGGAATAAACGTCTTGCACATATGTTTCTTAAGTTTATCCCAAGACACAATTTTCTCTTTCCCGCGACGAGTGCGCGAGATCTTTAGCTGACTCCACCAAGCTGCGGCGTGACCACGGAATCGAGTAGCTGCGTAGGGTACCTGTTTGTTTGCTGGAATATCTTTGAATTCGAGAAATTCATCGACTGCAACAAACCAGTCAAGTAATTCCTCCGGTTGTGATCGCCCATGAAACTCCGGAATTTCGAGTTTGATTCCCGAGAGCCAGCGTGTATCATCATTATTCCTGTGATGTTGATGGTGGTGTTGTTGGTGATGGCGCTGTTGGTTGTCTTCTCCGAATGGATTAGCTTGGTCATCGTCGTCTTCTTGTTCTTCGAAGATGGGGTTGAGGTTGTGGTGTTGACGATGGGGTGGTGGTGCGCGTGGTGGAATAGCTGCGTTTGCTTGAAGAGCGGCTTGAACTCCGGCTTGAACTCCGGTCTGAATTGATTCAGCCAAGGTTCGTCGAAGTTCATCATGAAAGTGTTCTTGGAAGTCTTCCAAGAATTGTTGAAAGTGAGTCCAATCGTTGGCTGGTTCTTTCCTTGGTCAAGGAGCCATCGCAAGATCGAAACAACGATAGGAATCGAAGTTCTAGGTCTCTGATACCAACTGACGGAGCGGAAGTACCGTTTAGTAACCGATAACACAAAGGTAACGTTGAATTCCGAGAATACCCGTTATCTAAACCTTCTTAAGTCTGTTGAATTCTTAAAGAATGCCCAGAAGTAAGGATTCAAGAGATAGTTTAAAAACCAAAGCTCTAAGTATTTATTAATCAAATCAAAAGTAGTAGTAAAACCAAAAGACCAACTAATCTCTAGGTAAAGATAATTATGCAAAACTAATTAGGAAAAGGAAAACAATAGAAAAGGAAAACACTAAGATAAGTGAAATAGGAATAGGAGATGTACGCTACATCAGTTCCTTCGGCTCAGACTCCAATTTCTTTTTTCATTTTTGATCCGTACATCTTATATATTAGATAGTGAGAATCATTGTTAGCAATGAGGAAAAAAAAACAAAATCATTGGCTTTTTCTTACCTTTTTCTTCTCATATTGAGTAATCATATTCTTGTAAAACTCCTTAACTACTGCACGAAATTCAAGGTAGAAGTAAGTATATGTTTATGGTAAAGAAAGAAATGAGATAGATATTTTTTGCATTTTTGTTTACTTTATAGTGGAGACTTGTATCCTTTTATAGTCTCTTTTGGGATAAAGAGATACATTCTCGTTGTAGAAAATGTCAATTCGAGACATAAAACTTTATGCAAATTTTTCTTAACAATTCTCATGTTATTAGGTGTCAATTTGATCTGAAATTTGAATCTTATACCAAAGATATCTTTCGAACTCCTGCAAAGAGGGAACAATTAAAACAAAGATACAAAAACTACTTATGTGAGTAAAGAAACCATAAATACCTTGATTAAGCCTTTATTTTTCAACCTTTCCAGGAATTCACATACGCCTGCTTCGTCATAAATTGGCAAGACCGTGACATACACCCTCTCACCATCAATTTTTTGAACTACAAACCTTTGGTTTTGTATCTCCCCTTACCTAGGCACAAAACGTATCCTTCAAAACCTCTGAACCAAGGCACCTTGTGTTTCATGAGTTTAGGGTCATTATCTTCAATAAACCACTTAAGGTTATCGATAATGTGGCTTCGGTGATAACATGGTATCACTGAATTCCAACCACATCCAATTGCGTTACAGTCATTCACAAGTATAGTTTGTATTATTGAGATGTACCTAATAAACATTAACATCTTAAGTCCTAAAAACAAGAAAAAGGGGAAAAATAATCGAATATGTTCCTATGAATAACATAGGGAAAAATATTACCAAGCTAGCTCTATCATTTATTTGTCTCCATACTGAAATCCAAGAATGGCGTCATCATTATGAGAAAACAAGAATCTTGTGAGTGGAGAGAGTTTGATCAAAAGATATCATGCTTTGCATGGTTGTGTTTCATTTTATAAGCCGGCCATTTACAAAGTGAGTAGAAGCAGTTAAACAAGAAAAAAACTTTATTGACTACACTTACAATACCGCGGGTACCAAAACTTTCAACGGGATCAAGCAAGTTTACATTTTTGGTTCCTAAAAAGTTCTGTCTCATACGAATGATGGTATTGGCAATAACCTCCTCATCGTGATGATAATCTGTGAGCTTGATTACATCACTAGCCAACTTGATAACCCTGATCTCATCCCTTTCTTCACTCTTGAGTGCACAGAAAAATGTTTTTTTCTGACTCCTGTTTGAGCTCATTAAAGAAAGAACGAAGAACATGATAAGTTCCTTGGTTATAAGATTAGTGTAGGAAATATATACTTTCTTTTTCTCACTTTGGTATGAAAACTATAAGAAGATGTGACAGTATTTCTTTTCCATTCAGCCCATCACAATGGACGAAAATAAGAAAGAATGTCTTTTCTACACTGATTTGGTAACCAAGAAACTTATCATGTTCTTCGTTGACAATGTTCAAAGGTCAATTTTTTTCATTCTTTGAGGGCTCAAACTGGGTCAGAGAAATGCATTTTTTGTGCACTCAAGAGTGAAGAAGACGATTGGCTAGTGATGTAATCAAGCTCATAGATTATCTTCATAGTGAAGAGACTATTGCAAATACCATCATTCGTATGGGACACAATTTTTTAAGGACCAAAAATGTAAATTGCTTGATCCCATAAGAAATTTTGATAGCCACGTTATGGTAAGTTTAATCAATAAATGGTTTTCTTGTTTTATTTTTCTTCTACTCACATTGTAAATGGTCGTGCGTATATGATGGAACATATGCAAGCGAAGCGTGATATTTTTTGATCAAACTCTCTCCACTTACAAGATTCTTGTTTTCCAATGATGATGATGTCATTCTGGGGTTTTAGTATGGGGACGGGCAAATGATAGAGTCATCTTCGTAATTCTTTGCGTCATCTTATCAATTTGATCTTTCCTTCCCTTTTTTGTTATCTAAAACGTAATATGTTAATGCTTGTTAGGTATATTCCAATAATACTAACTATATTTGTGAATGGTTGTAACACAATTGGATGTGAGTGGAATTCAATGATACCATGTTTTCCCCCAAACCACATTAATTATAACCTTAAGTAACTTATTGAAGGTAATGACACTAAATTCATGGTGCCTAGTTTTTAGTGGTTTTAAAGGACAATTTTTGCATATATGTATGGGAGATACAAAACCAAAGGTGTAGTTCAAAACCCTAGACTTTGTAATCATACTGCAAAGGTGTCGTTGGAGAATCGATTCTCTTCATCGCAAATGATGAAAGTTTTCTTCGCCAAAGATGATGGAAAGAAATCGAAGTCGCCATGAGATGATGTCAGTGTTCTTCGTCGGAATGAAATCGGAGTCGACATGAGAGAGATCGAAGATCAAAGATCGAAATGTTTCTGATTTTTTCCAGTGGTTTTATTTAATTTAAAGAGAGGGTATTAGAGATATCTTGCCCATTAATGAATGTCATTTCTGTAACTTTTCCGTTCTGGTGCTATTTTGGAGACAAAAACTTCAAAAGGGCTATTATGGAGAATTGCCCTATTTTTACTCAGTTTTCTTATTTTATAGAGAAATTGCAAAGCATATGCAAGCATAACCCTATAATCTCGCTACTTCAAGGTTGACTTTAAAGTTTATTGCTTTAGTTTCAATTCAAAGCTTATTGCATAGCTCATCACTGTTTTGGAACTTTGGTGTGTATATGGTCTGCTCAAAGTTTATGTCTTTTGTTGCTTTTGATCGAAGGGGTCTAGTGGGAGGGTCTAGAGGCTTGCAAAGTACTAGTTTGCAGAAAAGATCTTAATAAATATTGCAGAGGGACAGACCAGTTTCAGCCAAGGTATGAGTTTATTTACTTATCTATGTGGCCGGATACTTGTTATAGTGACCGGTTAAGATAAATATTATATGGCCAAGCAATATTAATAAGTTCATGTATGTTCTGTTTTCAGGTCTATTACCGTCGATGGCATTTCAGTTTCCAGCAAATATCTTATAGATACTTCGAAGAGGACCAGGCTGAAATTATATCAATTATAAGTTTTAGTTTAGTCGTTTTTATCTAAAGATATTCGTCTCAGGTGCTCTCGGTTGTAAAGAATAACTCCTCAAAGAAATTTAATAAATTTTAACACGGGTGAATCTAAGAATAACTCATCAAAGAAATTTTGTTAAGAAGTAATGTGATGCACATATACAAGCAGAGAAGCTCTCGACCATCTACCGGCAGGGAAGGTCTCTCTGTACCATATAGGATTCTAAGTATTTTTAAAATGATTGATATATAGAAAGCATTTCGAGTTGTATGCTCAATATTTATCGTCTCTCAATTATAATGATATTGGCGACATGTGCTGATGATCGTCCACTTATGAAACTAAAAGTTCTTGGAGAAATTCAAGAATGCACTAGGTCGAGCAGAACTTGGAATAAAAGTGCAAATTATAAGAACCCAAAACAGAGTTTAACAGAACAAAGATGAAGCATCACAGATTAACCCAAAAATAACTTTTAACAGAATCAACAATCATCAGCTATAGTCGGGATAGTTTTTCCTCCTGCTTAACCTTCTGCATCTCCTCCTCACTATCAGAATCAAAAGCTGAACTTTGTGGCCTTATGATTGTAAGCTTTCCTTGACCAATAACTTGTGCGGAATCAACAAGTGCCTCGACAGAAACAAATATATTATCTTGCGCAGGCGGCTCGACTATGATAACAGGAAACTTCCTTGTTTTCAAACAGTTAAAAACCCGGAGCAGCTCATGGTTTTTTGGGGTTTGTTTTGCGATTGCCACAAAATTTACTATTTCCAAAGGCTTTGATGATGCTATGAGAATCATATCCCTAGCCATTTGCACAGCAACCGAATTATCACTTCCTGAAACTAGATATCAACATAGATCTCGATTACAATAAAGTAGAAACGACAAGAGTGTTATGAGGGATTAAGTATAGTATAGTATAGGAAATCACAAACCATTTAAAGGAATGATTCGGGCCTTGCACCACTCACGTTTCTCGCAGTTCAGTTTTTCAGCATACTCCCTGATCTCATTCAACTTATGAAAGCCCATTTGAGTAATAGCTGCTTCGATACTACTAAAAATAGAATATGGATTGTCATCAACAGGACTGGGTAATTGTCCATGAGCCAGGAGATGTATGCCCGATTATCTTGGCAAAATAAAGTTACAATAGGTGTTAAATGATATGATCCATTGACTTATTAGAAAGGAGAGAGGTCTTACCGGAGAAATATTTGATTTTGTTTTCGTCCATGGTTCGACGGAAGTATCAGACTTTCTCGCTAAACTAGCGGTTAGATCGGGATGAGAGTGAGAGCCTTTATGGGTACTATCGATTCGGAAGAGAGATATCTATCATCTGTGCCGCAGTGGCCGAGGCAGAAAAAATGTTCACGAGGGTCATATAATAACTTTGTATAATGTACATAAACTACTGAAAAATTAGGTTTTAATTCATACTGATATAACTTTGATAATTGGGTTATTTAGTGGGCTTAATTTAATTTATTGTAGTTCTTTATATAAATTTGAATCTAAAATTACAAAAAAAGAAAAAAAAAACCTTAGTTTTCTTCAAAAATTACAATAGAATGCCATTGTAATTAAAACATTTTAGTTTTTCTCTTTTATGGGTTTTGATATGAGTTTAAATTCCACTAATTTTAAATCAAAACTAAATTGCCTAATTTAATTTAAAAAATGGAATTTGTTAATAAAATGACTAGAGCTCTTATTTTTGTGTGAATTTTTTTAATTGTTGCTGTCTAAATCATTTATTTTTACAAAAATCTATAAAATTAATTTTAAACTATAACTAAGCTAATAAAGGGGAAGTACAAAAAAGAAAAAGAACCCTTAGTTTTCTTCAAAAAATTACAATAGAATGATATTGTAATTAAAACACTTTAGTTTTGCTCTTATATGGGTTTAATATCCACTAATTTTGAATCAAAACTAAATTGCCCAAAACTAAATTGCACAATTCAATTTAAAAAATGCATTTGTTAATAAATTGCTAGAGCCTTATTTTTGTGTGATTTGTTTTTTAATTGTTGCCGTCTAAATCATTTATTTAAAAATAAATCTATAAAATCTAATTTTAAATTATAATTTCAGTCACAAATTATAGTATAATTTAATAAAACACTCTTAATCTAAACAATATACTCTAATATTTTACACTTCATTGTTCAGTTTATCGAATAAAAAAGTACAATAAAAAAAATACAACTTTATTGACATTCATAAATTTCTTATAACAATTTTAACTATTTATTTACTATAAATTTTTAAAATATAATTATTTATTGTTGTAATATTTATTTTAGTTTAACTATAAAAATAAATTAAAGAGAATTTGTCAAATATGATTCAAAACATGATTTTAAATGAAAATCTATACCAAATTTGAATCAAATGCAAAACTAACCTAAAAGCCTTGTGAAAATACAGCCAATTTTGTGACCAAACAAAAAAAACAAAAGTCATTTTTATGAATATACCCTCTTTAAGTTGTCTGAGTCGTCTGAGATGATGGAAGTCGTCTGATGTAGTTATTCTTAAAAATAATTTTTAAATTTTTAAAAAAGTATTTTGATAAGTGAAAAATTAAAATCATGTAATTATAAACAGTTTTAAATGCTGTAAATTAAGATATAATAAAATTGAATAGTTTTCAACATAGATGAGTGAAAGTAGTTGATCATGATATTTTTTGGTTTTAGGCTTGACAACATATGTTGTACTATTGTATGTATTCTTAGGGTTAGATTTTGGAAAGCTTGAATGTTTTTTTTTAAATTAAAGTTTTAGCTATATGTGTTTATTTCTTTGTATAATAAACACTTTTTAAGTTTAATTTTAAACCTTACTTATTGAATTTTAGAATTTTAAAATTTTATTTTTAGTATGACATTTTAGTTATAGATCTTATTTTTTTATTTTATTTTTATTTTTTAAGTTTGAAATTTTAAATGTTATATTTTTGACTTTTAAATTTTTTGGATTCTTTTTACAATTTTCCAAATTTTTGATTTTTTATGTATTTTTATCATTTTTATTAGTTAAAAAAACACCGACACATCATTATTTTAACTTGTAAAATGAATAATACTGGTCGACTGTGTACATGAAATCGTAGTTGGAAATTTGTTGTGAGTAAAATGTCAGTTTAAAGGTTAAAGTGATAGCCGAAAAAAATTTCGGTGTTTAAAATGCTAGTACGTGATACTCTCTCAATGTATTAAATGCGATTTTCCCGTCTAGTGTTTTGTCATTTATATTAGGGTTACTTTTAAGAAAGTAACATTTAGAAATAAATAAAAAGGAAACGCAAGCATATGTAACTACATAATTAGGCGTATTGACATAGGCTAGTGTTACCATTTTATAAAGCTAACGAAGGCCTGTGGATTTAGTTTTTACCTGAATTCGATAGGGACTTTAGGCCCGAATTTAAATTCTCGTTTATCTTTGGGGTAAGTAGTAAGGTACAAGCTGTCGGTCCAATCGAGAACTTGATCATCCAACAGCATCATATTGTTTCCATATTCCTTGGAAACTACCATGTTCTCTTCTGTCGGAAGGGCAAAGAACTGCTTGGTTAGCTCGTAAATGTTGTCAAGAAGCGCTTCCGTAATTCCATGATTCATCACCTGCTTCAATCAGAAAGCATAAGTCATGTCTTGACCGAAAATTATGGCTCTGATTAACACTTAGAGTTAGAGGGTACCATATTAGATATATCATAGATATTTCCTTTAATACGATAATGTTAAGTTTCCAATAACTTAAGATATAGGATCTATCATTACTTGGGATGGAAGTTATCCTTTATGAGACCATCCCATATATATAAGTGTTTTAACTCTCTGGTAAGAAACAAAATCTCGTTCTTTATGGAACACATAGCAAGTATGATTTGATCTTAGATTCCGGAGCGTCGCACCACATGACTGGCGACATCAACCTCCTAACAAATCTCAGATCAATCAATGCTGTTGCAATCTCTCTACCCTATGGTTGAATAGCTTGGACAACACATCATGGAACATTAAATCTTGGCGGAAAGCTTATTCTCCACAACATGTTCTATGCACCGCAACTCTCTATTACTCTGATATCTGTCTCACAGTTGCATAATGAGATTGCAATCTTTGTCATTTTTACTAAACAGTTTTGTGTGATACATGCCCTAGCTTCGAGGACTTTGATTGATGCAGGTTAAGAACGAGAAGGGGTTTATCATCTTACCGGTTCGGTTGTGTCTCAAGCAAACCACGCCAGCAAGAAGGATATTAGAAATTTATGGTATCGACGTTGGGACATCCGTCGTCGAAAGTCTTGTTTTTTTATCAGATTTAGGAAAATTTTCTACAAGCAATAGTGACTTAGATATGCTTTGTGATACTTGCAATTGTGCAAAACAAACTCGCGTAACCTTTCAAGAGAGTTCGGATAAAGCAGATGATTTGTTTTCTTTGATAAATTGCAACGTATGGGACCTTACAAAGAAAAATCATCATGTGGAGCATCCTATTTCTTAACCATCGTGGACGATTTCTCACGAGCTCTCTGGACGTATCTGAAGTAGCAACGTCTTGAAAAACTTTCTCACCCTTGTCGATCGACAATTCAACAAGAAAGTGAAAATCATAAGAACTGACAACGGAACAGAGTTCACATGCCTCAGAAAGTTTTCAATTCCCAAGAGATTATAATACATCAAACATCTTGTGTTGCAACTCCACAACAAAACGGACGTGTGGGACGCAAGCATCGACATATTCTTAACATAGCCATATCACTGCTAATGGAAGCTAATCTTCCCATTCGGTTTTCGGGTGAGAGTATTTTAGCAGCCACACATCTAATAAACAGGACGCCCTCTATTCTCCTGCAAGGCAAGTCTCCTTTTGAAATATTATCAAAACAGCCTCCAGCATATCAAGATCTTTGGACGTTTGGATGCTTGTGTTACGCTAGAAAAGTTCGCCGATCCACTGATAAGTTTGAAGATCGTGGAACTCGTTGTACCTTCCTTGGGCATCCATATGGAAAGAAAGGATGGCTTGTGTTTGACTTACAGACTGAGCAGACCTTTGTATCTCGCGATGTCATCTTCCATGAGGATGTGTTTCCATATTCAGAGTTGCAATCTCATCCTGCAGTTTCGTCTCCACGACCTCAGCCTGTGTATTTTAACGAGGTCATACTACCTCAAGCACCTACTCCCGTTGCTAATACGCAAGAAGTAGCTCCGGTCTTAGCAGAGACAGGGGGAGATCCTGCATCGCCACCCGCAGAAGCATCTCTTACGCCTCTTTTAGCAGATACTGAACCCGAAACTAATAGTCAACAAGAACAGAACACGTCACAGGAACAGCTAGGTCGAGGTCATAGACAATCAAAACCCTCTCTTCAACTAAAAGACTATGTGACCAATTCTGCAGCAATACATGATAAACCCCCTCGAGCTTCCTCAACACCAAATCCTAGCTTCTCTAGTAAGTGTCTTTATCCACTAACTGATTATGTATCTTGTGATATTTTCTCTCCTTCACAGAAAGCGTTTCTCGCGGCTGTCTTTAAATCAAAAGAACCCACTAGTTTCAAGAGGCAATGCTTGAAAACGTTTTGAGAGAAGCAGTGGCAGCTTAAATTACAGCACTAGAAGATCAACATACTTGGGATGTACCCAGTCTTCCTCCAGGAAAACATGCCCTTTGGTGTAAATGGGTCTTGAAAATCAAATATAACTCCGATGGCACCATCGAACGTTTCAAAGCTCGTTTAGTCACCTATGGAAATCAACAGCAAGAGGGTGAAGACTTCAATGAGACATTTGCTCCTGTCGTCAAATTAACAACCATACAATTTCTACTTAAAATGGCTGACACAGAGAATTGGAACTTGTATCAGATGGACGTGCACAATGCCTTCTTGCACGGTGACTTAGACGAAGAAGTATACATGAGACTTCCACCAGGGTTTTTATATTCTCAGAAGAATGTTGTTTGCAAACCTCGAAAGTCACTCTACGGTCTTAG